TAACCTCCCCCACCATCAACCAACACCTCCGTCAATGTTTACGACCATCAATCATCGTCGAAACCACTTATCAATGTCATCACGACACGTGCAAAACCTATGTTCGACAAACTTTTGGTGGGCTAATTCTCCAACCAAAGCGTCGAGGTGAGTCACAGTGTGACGTGGCAGCATGAATAATTTTTCGTTGTGCGTGACATCACTCAAATTATCTTCAGCGGCAGAATCTACTCGATCAATAGATCGTTGAACACTGACTCCCCACATGTGGTAGAGACGTCAGAATGTGAAGAAATCTTTTGGGCCAGGAAGTGACTGCGGTTGATCATTTTAAAATTTAATATTTTTAATTTTTTTGTTTAAGTAAATAATATTTTTAGTTTATTAAATAAATAAAATTTATAATATATTTATTTATTTATATATATCCGTTGTTTTGGGGGTAAAATAATCAGTGTTTATCATACAAAAATTAACGAGTTATGATAAAGAAACTACAATAAAAAAAAAAATCCTCATAAAATTTATAATTTTATATTAAATAGAGGAATGTAACACTTTTCCCAACCAAATAATGGTTTAATGAACTTCCTACCCATAGAATATTAAATACCACTTATTATCAAATTATTATTTCGGCAGCGAAGAAAGAAACTCGGTCTAGACTATAGGGGCTTTAAGATGGGAGTTGATGAGCTTTTGGTAATGGAAGGTAGGATTTTAATTGTTGGGATTGATCGAAATTTGACTTAGGAGGCATGGTTGTGCAAACGTAATCGCTTAATTGCCGACGATTGACGAAGTCAATGAGAGTAGGGTTTGAGGCGTTTTGGTGAGTGATGATAGGGAAAGAGAATGGTGATAGTGGAGGTCGCAATAATACCGGAATCAGAAACGGAATATAAATTTTGGTAGTGAAATGGTATTTTAAAAATCTATGAGTAGAAAAGTGTCATTAAGCCATAATTTTGGTGGGAAAAAGTCGTTTACTCTAAATAGAGTAGAAAAAAACGTATGAAAACAAGAGAAAACGATGACTTATGATGAGTTCTATCTACGATGTCTTCATATCTTACCTCATAATTTAATGCAACACATAACAATAAGATATTGATTCACATGGCAAATAATAGAAGCTCAATATCTAACTCAGAAAAGTCTTATTATAACAACTTATGTATAAAACCAATTAAATTAAAATAATGAAATAGAGGTATGACTAAGCAAGTAGGTACAAGTTAAGTTCACCCAACCGATTGCATGCAATAGAATTGAGTATTGTATTACAAGAATTTTAATGAAGATAAAGCAAAGAGTTGAATAAGCTTCATTTCTTCAAATTTGGCTTACACTTAAAAGTCCCACCTTTCTAGTTCCCACTATCATTATTAATTTCTAACAACTCCTCAATCAAGGACGAACCCAAAAATTAATTTTAAGAATATAATCATTGAATATATATATACACGAAATAGTAAATGAGTAGAGTCAAATTTAATAACATTATTACAAATATGCGCTTAGTCAAAACAAAAACCCAAAACAAATTAATGATTTTTTTTAGTGAGTGGGGTCACTAGCCCCCACCCACTAATATGTAGGTCCATCCTTGGTGCCAAACCATATTTTCTTGATTTAAAGTATACAATTTTCTTTTTCTTTTCTTTTTCTTTTTCATAATTATTCATTAATTTTAGTCAAAACAATTTTAGGTAAGACTTTAATTTTAAGGTAAATTTTAGAGGTTTTTTCATAGTAAACCCCCCCGTATGTTTGGCATTTTTATTGTGAGCATTCTCTGGTTTTAAAAATACAATCCTAACTCCCATTTTTTATGGACTGTTATATTATTCTGTTTAAGTTTGAAGAAAATAACGTTCTATCAAATTTGATAATATTGTTGAAAGGTTAATATATTTTTTAGAGGTTGGATTGATGAAATTATTGATAAATTTGAAGGTTTAATTGATGATATTTTCGAGACCAGCAAATACTCATTACAAAATAGGCCAAACACATGAGGGCTAGTGTTATATTTCTAAAACCAACAAACACTAGGGCACATTTCTTAAACTAACAAGTGGTCACTGCAAAAAGGCGAAACAAATAGGGGTTTACTAAAAAAAATCCAATTTCCAAGGGAGCATAGGATGCTTTTTGATGTGAGCATAGGGGTTATTTGCACTTTCATCCTTCAGGTTCATAGTATATTCACTTATTTTAGTTTAGTCTATTAGATATGAACAGTTTAATCTAGTAAGGTGAGACTTTTAAGCAAAAGTCTAAAATAGCCCGTCATCTTATTCACATACTATTAGAATGAATAAAATAAATATGTTAGAAAAAGAAAAAAATTGGATATTTTAAATTTTTATGGTGTTCATTTTGGTTTTTGCTTTGATAAATTTTTGTATTTATAATGATAATTTAATAACAGTAATAAGAAATCAAGGGTATTATAGATTTTTTATTGAAAATTTTCATTTGAATGGTTAAACTGTTCCCATCGCATAGTACTAGAGATAATTGCAATAAACTATAAAGGGGCGTTTGGTTCAAGAATGTTAGATTACTGGGAATATTGAATTACTGGAAAGATAGATTACCTTGGAAGATTACTGGGAATCTTTAGAAAATATGTTTGGTTAGTGTGGGGTATGTATAGTATATTGATATATTTTGGTTATGGGAATAAATTGGTGGGTATGTTATTTAAATTACTAAATTGCCCTCTTTTAAATATTAATATAATATTATTTTTATTATTAATTTTTGAATAATTTTTTAACCCCAATATTTCAGATAGCTAAAACACCCCCGCTTATAAAAAACTTTAATTCATGACGAAATCACCCCCACTCCTGCCGCCGCCTGCCACCACCGCGAACAAACCGCGGAAATCGCCGGAGCCCCTAAAAAGAAGGAATTCTGTGGGAGGCTCCGGAAGGCTTGTTATGGCCGTTTCGGCCATATTGATGGCCGAAAACAGCCAATCAGGCCAGATCTGGCCGTTAACGGCCAGATTCCTGGCCATAGCGGCCAGTTCTGGACCAGATCTGGCCGTAACGGCCAGGTCTGGTCCAGACCGGCCGATAATGGCAGGGATCTGGTCGGAAATGGCAGAATAGATCTGGCCATTTCCTATCTGGCCATTTCCGGCCAGATCTGGCCCGATATGGCGTTTTCGCCATCAATATGGCCAAAAACGGCCATATCGAAGCCTCCCGGAGCTCCCACATAATTTCCAGTGTTTTTAGGGACTCCGGCAATTTTCCGGCGGTGGTCCATGGTGGTGGAACCGCTGTCGGCGGTGGTGGCTGGGTGGCTGTGGTGGTGGTGGCTTGGTGGCAGTGGTGGTCTGTAAATTATTTTAAATATAAGGGCATTATTGTCCAAAATTTTAATTAAACAAGGGTAAAATTGAAATAGGATATTAATGTAAATTTGTTTTAAAGTAGAGGTATTATTGTCCAAAATTTTTATTAATAAGGGATAAAATTGTAACAAAAAAAGATAACCCCTGGTAATCTCAGAAAACCTAAGAAAATTGAGGTATTCAGATTACCTCTTATATTACCAATAGTAACCACTATTGGTATTTGAAGATTACTGGTATCTTATATTATTTGACAACCAAACGTGGTAATCAAATAATATAAGATAATATTACCCCAGTAATGCCACTTAACCCTGAACCAAACTACCCCAAAGTATAAACCTTAAGGACGAAAGGTCGCTAACCCGGAAATAGTACAAGCTTTTAAAATTTTAAAATTTCTTCAATTAGGATTTGGTCAAATCCAGCCAAACTTGTGCTGATTTAGACAATAATGATAATCTTGTCCTTATCGTGGATGTCAATTAGACTTAAAAAATATTTGCTAATGGTCCACCTAGCAGAATTAAGACTTCAGAGCTCAATCAATTCCAGTTTTCACTTTTTCAATCCAATCCATTTTCTATCTTCATGCCTTTAAATCCTGTTGGAAACTATGAATATCATTTTATTATGTTTAAATTTTTTTTTCATCTTTTTCTCTTTCTAGAAATTGGTGAAATTATTGAGACAAAATGATAGGTGTTGATGTTGGGCTTGGGCGTGATTTTGGATAATAATATTTAATGATCTTTGGGAAAGTTAAATGGTTCCCAAATATGGCTTTGACACTCATACAAAATGTGAAAATAATAATGAATTTGAGTCAACAATTTGAGGCGCAGTGTCTATAAAAGATAAAGAGGAAACAAAAGAAAAGATTGGGACACTAAAATTAATTAAAAAAAAAAGATAGGGCAGACTAACTTTTTGGAATGATGAAAGGGATTGAAGAGAATAAATGAAGAGCAAAGAGAGGGCTCAATCTTCCATAAGACAGTGACTTCATTTCAATATCTTATTTTCAATTTCATCTTTATGCTAACATCTTTACTTTTTTTTGGGGGGGATAATAAAACCATTAGCATTATTACTTTTCTGTTTCAGCAATGGCATGCTATGGTATAGTTGCTTCAACAATTATACCACAATTTCAATACAATTATTAAAGAATGAGTTAGTAGCTTATGGAAGCAAAGTTGATTAGTAGATCCCAAGGTTTAAATAAGAAAGATAAACAAAAGATTATCTTCTTGGGCAGAGCATCTTCCCATACAAGACATTACTTGCTAGGAATTGATGATTTTGGTGGGTGATAATTCTCTTCTGTAGACATTACAAGAAAACTCTTTCGGTCACAATGTTCATGGCCATGGGCTTCTCAATCCAAGGAAACTCTTTGTCATTGGACCCACCCATGAACCTTGTAACGAGCCCACAAACCCATAATGAAATTTAACCAACTCATTACTTAGCCATTCACCCACCACCAACACCAAAAATAGATGAAATTGTTTACGTCTTCAACTGATTATATGAAAAATAAGAACCAAATGGTAATATCAGTGGCTACTCTAGCTCATCACAACTACACCATCATAAGGAATATTAATTCAAGAAAAATAAAACATAACTATAAGAGCCTTGGACGTAAAATTTTATTCGATTCAAACCCTTTTCTCTTGCCATAGCAGAAGAAGAAAAGCCTTATTAGTCCATACCTATTACCAGTATTACAATATCCAGTAGCTCCTATCCATCGATCAAACAAACCACAAAGTACACAAAGCACAAAATAAAGACAGTAGATATTACATGGATCTGCTCACATCGCTAGATTTTCCAACCACTTAAAGTTTTGAAGCTGCATCTTTGTCTAGAAACCAAGCTAATTCAACTTCTGCTGAAACCATTTGAACAGGCAGCTTATCAGAATTCTGACTATTTCCCAAAGCAGCCTGCACTGGACCAGCTTTCCCAGCACCGCACACCACAAGTGCATTATATGCAGATGAGTTGATTACTGGAAAGGTAAAAGTGATCCTCTCTGGAGGTGGCTTTGGTGAGTCTTTAATGAAGGTAACCCATTTCTCTTTCTCGTTTACAAGAGGATGCCCTGGAAATAGAGAAGCTACATGTCCATCCGGGCCCATACCCAGAAGCATGAGATCAAACTTTGGCAACCCAGTGGCTGGTGATACATCTATTATATTACTCTTAACCAAATGTTTGAGACAGATCTCATAATCTTCAGCTGCACCCTCCGCCGACAGTGAATCATTGATAGAATAAACGTTACCAGGGGTAATTGGTACCTTTCGGAAAATAGGGAAGAAGATTTAAAAGGTTAAGCAGGCATTTCAGAAAAAATACGACTAAAGATGCAAACTGCCTTGACTGAAAATTCACATTGTTATTCATACAAAAGGAATAAAAGCATATGACCAGCTAACAATTGCCAAATTAACAAAAGATCCCAAACCGTAAAAAGTTACTAGCAGATGTGAATTTTCTTAAATATACAACTGAATAAAAAAGAACAGAGTTTCAAACAAAAGCAATCATAATACGAGTATGAACTCACTAAGAACTCAAGATTGAGCAATTAAAGAGACAAATCACCTAAGTCTTATAATCAGAAGATTAGTGGCTGAAGGTTAGCCATTCAACTCAAGCTACAAATACCCAAATGTTCAAATACCATTATGCATTCCTGTGCTCCTCGGTAAATTGAAACCTATATGTTATTGACCAACTTGGTATCTTTTGATGTCTAATTGAGATTCTTGGAGCAGAATAAATAATCAATTAATTCCTAAGCGGGGACCCAAAAATACTTGTTGGTAAACACTTTTAAAAGTGATTGATTTTCAAGGGGATTAAAATTTAATCAGGTTTATAAAGGATGTTACAAAAACTAACTATATTATTTCAGTGTGCAGTGTGCAAATCCAATTAATTATCATTGAACAGGTGTGGCAAACATCAAAATAATTATAAAATCCAAAAGAGTTTCACTTTCAAAATGTTGATAAACATTTCCCATTTAATAAAGATTAATGATTCTAAAACGTTAAATGGTAAGTAAAAGACTTGTAAAAATTATACCTTAGAGAGAAAGCCATCAAACGCTAGTTTATAATTACTATCTTCATGATCCTTCGGAACAACTCTCTCATCCACCCAAAAAACGTGCCATTTCTCCCATTCAATTGAATCAACATACGGCTGATCCACCAATTTCCTAAATTAAAAAAAAAATCAACCACAATTTAATCAGCTCTATTAAACAGTCCCGAAACTTTAATTTCATTCCAATATGATACCTGAGTGACTTGATGAGTGAACCACCGGACAAAACGACAGTGAAACTACCCCTCTCTTTACAAAACTTCTCCGACAAGTCGGCCGTGTATTTGGCCAGTGAAACAGCGAGATCTTCCTCAGAATCAAACACTTGCACCTTCTTTTTGTTGTCAGTGGAAGTCTCAGCCATTGATGCCTTGGTTCTTACGCACTTGAACTTGCTCGGATCCGTGGCGATCACAGAAACGCTTCGAAAAACGATTGGCCGGCTTGATCTGATCAGTTGAAGAGCGTGGAGTTGAGTGTTAAATATGCTTCGTGGGGAGCAGGAAAGAGTGCGTAGAGCATTACAAAATGTGATAGAGGTGGAGGCCATTTGTGGGTTTGGTGGTGAATTTTACCTTTTGACTTTCGGCTAAAGATGGGAAATTATCGGGTCTGTTTTGACCCGGTTTTAAAATCTGTCAGACCTTATGTTATGACCCAAAAAAAAAAAAGGGAAATTATTTATTAAGTAATTCTTGGTGTGAGTCCATAAATAACTTATTTATAAAAGAAATTTTCTTATTCTGAAAATTTCAATGTTTGTTAGACTAAGTTATCTATTTTTTAATTAAAAAAATTTAAATAATCGAGACTAATTATTGATGAACAGATGAAATTAATTTTGTTTTAAGATGTTATTTTTATCAGTTTTCATTGATAATAGAGACTTACGTTTAGATTGTATCTCCAAATTTTATTCGATATTAATTTTTTTTTTAATTTTAAGACATTATACATATCAGTTTTTATTAGTAATTGATATAAAAGTATTTTAGTTCAATTGAAAACTTTTGAGGTATGACTATTTCTTGAATTACTTTTGGGAGCAAACTATTTTTAATTGAGTCTTTAAAAATAGTTTATTTAATATAATTTCTCTAAAAAGTTTGAATGTAATAGAATTTTACTATTTTTTTTCAAAAATAAAATATTAGAAAAACATATTCAATTGAAATAAGTTTTTTTTTTTTTTGAAATTTTATATGATATAATAATAAACACTAATTAAAATAAAAGAATAATGTTTATATACTATTAAACCCGATTGGAATTTGGATCTGTTAAAACCCGGGTCGGAAACAGGTTAATGGCTAGGTGGAACAATGCTAAAACGACAATGGTTGGAAAGTGGGTAAGTGCTCAGTGACGTGGCGTTAGTAACGAGGCATGACGACATTTGTAATAGGCACGTGTTGGTGTGTATGATGAATCGACCCCACGTCTAAAACAAATAAAACATCTTACCCTATTTGATAAAGAATTAGCTTTAAAATCAAGGGATCCTAAAATCTTTAACAATGTGTTTATTCAAACTATCTTCGGATTTTTTTTAATATTATCTGAATAAGAAATCTTTTTTTTTTTTTTTTTAATATTATAGCACCTTTTGTCTCTTACATTATATTAAATATTAAAATCTTGCTTTCTCAAATCTCCATTATAATCATTGACATAGGTATATTATTAGGTACGTTTGGTTTATTATTTTGGGTAGGATTTTAGGGATAGTATTGGATAGTTGGATAGGGAAGTATTACGAGATAAAATTTAAAAATTTATGAAAAAGCCCCCAAAGTTTGCTAATTTAATAAACACCCTAATATATTAAAATATTGTAAAATGATAAAAACACTCCTACCACCCGCAATGCCAGATTCCGGCCACCACCGTCGGAATCTGGCCGAAAAAATGGATAATCACACATACCGGTCGGATCTAGCGGGTATTTGATCGATATGGCCTTTTCCAGCCATATCCACTACGGATCTGGCCGGAAAAGGCCAGATCTAAGGCCGGATGTGGCCTTCGATTGCCGGAAAAGACCATCTTTGGCCAAAGATATGGCCGTCGTTGACGGCCAGATCTGGCCTTTTCTGGTGGTCGTGTGACAGATTCCGGCTACCACCGTCGGTGGTTGCTGGAATCTGGCAAATATTGGGGGGTGGGGGTGTTTTTGTTAGTTTTTAAACTTTTTTTCTGGGGTATTTAATGAAATTAATAAACTTGTTGGGTCTAAAAGTAATTAAAAAATAGACTAATATTTTGGGAATAACGTGCCAAACAACATTTGAAGAATATGATTGGGAATATGGATAAAAACATAAGCCAAAACCACCAATTTATTATATTATTCACTTCTTTATTATTAAATACTATTAGTATATTTTTAATATAAAAAGGGTGAACAATATATTACAACTTTGTCCAACATAGAGAATTTAATTAAAAAAAACAAAAAAAAAAAAAGGGTTAAAATGTGATATAAAATGAATGATGGATTAAAGAAAATGGAGGGCTTTTGTAATGTCACTCATTCACCCATTTCCATATAAAAACATTTGCATATGCAAGCCAATATTTAGGGAACTGATTAGTATTCCCTAGAGGCAGGAGTGTTCGTTGGTTTGAATCCAGTAATTTTTACTCAATCCAATTCGAACTAAGTTTATATTGGATTTTAGATTTTTCAATTTGGTCCAATCCAATTTTAAATTAAAATTCGATTCAATCCAATATATAGAAAATTAAAATATGATTCAGTTCAATTTGTACAATATTAAAATTTAATTCAATTCAATCACATCAAATTTAAGAAAACTGCATCCAATTGAATAAAAAATTAAATTGATTTTGTCTAAATCCAATTTGATTATACAACGTATTAAACTTTTTGTCAAAGTTTCATAATTAAATAATTTAGTCATTAGAGAGCTATTATATTATTTAAACATAGGGAAATGACTATTTTCAAATTTTAAAAAAATACTTCTATTATAGAGAGACATAAGTTGGTTGTCTATTACAAAGATAAAATAACAAATGAAAACAATCCTAATAAAATAAAGGGTTATTATAAATTGGAGAACATTTTTTGAAAAAAAACCAAAAGAAAAAGGACACGGGTTTCATTTATATTAATAAACAAACATTTTTATCAATCAAATTACACGTTTTAATTAAAAAAAAAAATGAAACCTTTTTTTGCCAGATCCACTGTGGATTTGGTCAGAAAAGTCCGTATCGACACACAATTCGTCAGATTCAGCCAGTCGTGCGCTATTACTATGATATCTAGCCACTCTTCGGCGGTGGTGGCCAGCATTTAATGGGTGGGTGGAGGTGTTTTTGTTAATTTTTAATGTTTTATTGTAAAAGTGTTTAGCTAAATTAACAAATCTAAGAGGGTGTTTTTGTTATTCAAATCTTATCTTGTAATAACCACCCAACTCAACTTTTTCAAAAATTCGACCCAAAATAATAAAACAAACACATTCGAATAGTTTCAATCTTTTAAACCCTGTTAACCCGGAATTTGTTATAAAACCAAACCAAACTGCATGGGTCAGTTTGGTTCAATTCAGATATTCGGGTTTTGCGTACATGCATACCCCTCATATACCCTATTACTAAATACATCTTTATTCTATTTAAAAAACAAAAATCTATTTAAACCCTATTTAATATCAAAGTAGTAGTCCTACTTAATTAGGTTTAATTGAGTTTTTATTTTTTATTTTTTATTTGTACCTCTTTCACTAATTTTAAATTTAATTAAGTTTTTTGTTTATACTATTTTTTCCCAGTTTCAAATTTGAAACATATTTTTTCTTTTTTCAATTCATATTCATCCCGTGGTTCATATTATGTGATTACTTTATTTATAGATAATCAAATACAAATATACTTGAAATTAAAAAAAAATGTTTTAATGGTTTAACAAATTTAGAGTTAGAGTTTATGTAGAAATAAAGGTTAAAAAAAAAAAAAATAGAGTATGAATGTATTTAGAAACTATTATTATTAAAAAAAAAAAAAAAATAGAGTATGAATGTATTTAGAAACTATTATTATTAATTTTAATTATGGTTAAAGAATATATTAAAAAGTGGGGATAATAATCAGCTTCATGGGCTAAAAATCACTTGCCCATATTTATGGCCAACCCACCAACCACATGGCCGATTGCCACTAAACTCTAAGCAGGCAGGAAGTGATTTATACCTTTGAGTAATGCTATATTTACATCATCTATTATACCATTTTCATTATATCATGATATCTCACATCCACACAAATTTTTAATTATTTTAAATTTTTAATACTATAATAAAATAATTATTAGTAAAATTGTGATGGTGTAAGAAAATGATGTAATAAGTGGTGTGTATGTAATATTACTCTTTACCTTTTTAGTACTCATTATTTTTGTCTTTAGCTTCTATCTTCAAGTTTAACTGTTTAAGTGGGGAAATAACTATAATTGAAAAAAAAAATAATTCTCTCCTTCCATACTTTTACTTCAAAGCTTTATGTTTGTAGTTATAAAAGTTAAAGTAAATTCAAATCAATCAAATTTAACAATAAAATATGAGATAAAACAAAACACCCAATATAAAAAATTCCTATTGATGAAATTTCGTATTTTATTGTTAATTCTAATTATTTATATTTACTTTTATTTTTTCATAACCGCAAGTATAATACTTTAAAGTAAAAGTATGGAAGATGAAAAATTAATTGTTTTATCACAATTATACCCTTTCTTAAAATTGAAGATAAAAAGTGTTATGCCTGGGAAATCAAGGGCTGACGTGGGAAATCACGTGATGAAGTGTGACCTGCTCCCGTCAGAATGGTAAGCGCACGTTAGGCCTGCCAAACGCTATGGAGCTCCCACGTGTCCATTTCCTTGCTCCAAATCGCGTGAAATCAGCTTGGGAAGTGGGCAATGTGACGTAAAGCCGGATTATGTCCTGACATTCACACTAACCCAAAGATTTAATGATGATTACTTGCATTCATCTTGTTACAAAAGGAGGAAGACCCCTTCATTAAGGGGATTTGGCTATTTTCACACTCGGAACTAGCTCTCTCTCGCTCTATGTCTCTCTCTCTTGTAAACTTTGTATTTATTTTTCCCAATCATTTGTAAGTCAATCCGCCGTGCGACCTGACCCACAATACTAATACAAATCAGTGGACGTAGAACTTGCTACCTTAGCATCCGAACCACTTTAAAAAGCTCTCATTGCATTTATTTCACATTTTTCTACCCATAATCACGTGTACCTCTTGACCAATCGACGTTGCGCACATATCGATTAATTGGTGTTAGAATCACGCATCAACAAAAAGGGTGGGGACTAAAAATGACTTCCGCGGGGCTAATCCATATGGATAGGGTTGAAGTGGGTTTGGTCCAACAAAAGACAATAGGAAGTGAAATCCTCTCTTGCATTTCCAGCATTTTATAAATAATTGCATTTAATTCGGTTAAAGAAAAACTTAAGAGGGTTAAAAACCTTAACAGAAGACATACAATCATATAATGAACTTTAAAGTTGAGCACAAAGCTTAGTTTATGTACTTTTTTCCAGCCTTAAACCTTGAAGATGTGTTATGAGCATGTATATTAGATCACTTAATGTTAACGGTATGACTCATGGAGCTCTATATGATCAAAAATGTACTTCATATATTTGTTGGAATAAGATTGGATAAACAAAATTGTTTGGGCCTCTAATAAATTAAGTTGATCAAAGAAAAACTTTGTATAATATAGATCATCATATGTGGAACTCGAATTTAAAGTTTGAGATTTTGTCCTTACAATATCCGTATATTTGTCGGAGAAATTGTAAAAAATTATCAATGTATTTGTTCAAGTGAAAATAGAAGAACGTAATCAAGAAAGAATATTAATTCTTCCAAACATGATTATAAATATAAAGATGAGAATGAAAACATAATAAATTTGTTACAACAAAAAGGATGTAAACTTGAAAGATTAATTATTTTTAATTGAATATAAAATGAAAATAATTTTTAAAATTAAATAGATAGTATCTTGATAAACAGGTCAAGTTTCAATAAAAATAAATGAATCCTATGTGCTTTTGTAATTCCGTAACCAATCAGGGACTGTACATAACCTTGTAACCAAACAAACCCTCTAAAAACCCTAATCCCCACCGCTAACCTTCAGATATAAACAAACTCATAACCAAAACCCTCAAACCGGTCTTTAGAGTTTGAGAGCTAGAACAGAGAACGAAAATGCAGATCTTCGTGAAAACCCTAACGGGGAAGACCATAACCCTCGAGGTCGAATCAAGCGACACCATCGACAATGTCAAGGCTAAGATTCAAGACAAGGAAGGTGCGTGTTTGAAAATAAAACGATGAATTTGCTATTTGTATTTGATTATGAATCGAGATCTGATGGCTGTGAGTTTTTGTTGTAATTTCTTTCTTCAGGTATTCCGCCTGACCAGCAAAGACTGATTTTCGCCGGGAAGCAACTCGAGGATGGCCGTACTCTTGCCGATTACAATATCCAGAAGGGTCAGTCTTTTGTTTTTGAGGGAATTTTTTGGCTTTACTTGTATATTTGACTCTTAATTAGTGCAGATGAAATTCAAATAAAATGAGTATTAATTTATTTTTATTATTGGGAAATGATTATTAATTTGCTTCACTTTTCACTCTTTTTTGTATTGAAGTTAAATAATCAATTAAGATTGTTTTGGTAGGGTTAGTCATTTGGTATGTTTGGATCTATAAGTTTTGATAAGATAATTGATGCTTAATTAATTAATGTGAATATTCATCTAAAATGGATGCTTAATAGGTTAGGTAATTGTGTAGAGTATTGGGAAGTTGTTTTTAGTTTGTTTTACTTTTAATGCCTAGTTTTAAGTGAAGCAAAAAACTAGATTATGAAACTTCAGTAACCATTGTAAATATGAAAATTGCTTTTGAGCTTGCTTGTTGTTTTACGTATGTTATGTAGGGGATTTTGTTAGAGTAGGTTGGTTTTCAGTATTTTGCTTTTAACCCTTTTGTTTGCAGCTAGTTAACTCACATAAATATTGATTTCGGTTGTTTCAGAATCAACTCTGCATCTGGTTCTGAGGCTTCGTGGTGGTATCATTGAGCCTTCTTTGATGGCTTTGGCTAGGAAGTACAACCAGGACAAGATGATCTGCCGAAAGTGAGTCTTGAGTGTTGTTATTTTCGTGATTAAAGATGAGTGATTGAATTTATATATATTGTATTATGGTTTCATGTTACATGGTAATTATTCACAAATGTTAAATAATTCCTATCTGTTTTTCTTCTTCAAATACCTTGGTTGCCCTCTCATTTGTTTAAGGTAACAATCTATTTTTTATGTGTCTGGAATTATGCATACTATTTGTTTATCTTGGAGTTATCTTTTTATTGTAAAATTGTGGTTAATTACGTTTGACTTCTTGGAGCTAAGAGCTAGTGTTTGTGGTAGCCCAGCCTGTTACTGGATGGCAAACCCTTTAGTCATTGGGGTTAGCTATACCTAGGGGTCTTGTGTTTGAGTCGTGGGAGAGACACTTACTGGGTTTCTTTCCTGAGTATGATGAGTAGATGGGTTATTTGATTAGGGTTGCATATGGCTTTCTTCTTATTACTTGTTCTGTTGTGGAATACTCTGTGCTGCATTAATCTTATAACAGATAAGCAAACTTGCAATGTCTTTGAGCCAAGTTGTTGCAATATGAATCGTTTTACCCTTTGTGGAAGAATTTTATTTCAGCTTTCACTTAATTGTATCCAATTTTGGTGGAGATATTGATTAATCCTCCCAAGGAAATTCTGTGATAATTTTTATAATCATGTAGATGACTATATTTTAAGTTGTTACCACATGGTTCCCTGGATGTTTGGGAGTTCTTTGTTGCTCTGTTTTGTTCCTGTTTTTCTTACTTAACATTTATAAATGAATAGTCCTCATTACTCTTTTTCTGTTAATTTGCAAATATTTGATATCTGATACTTAAAAGTTCTTCATGATTTATATTTGTAACAGATGTTATGCACGTCTGCACCCTCGCGCTGTGAACTGCCGGAAAAAGAAGTGTGGGCACAGCAACCAGGTAAATCTTACTTAAAAGTATTAGACCTTTTATATTGGACAGCTTTAAGAGATGGTGGTGTCTCGACGTTAATTTTTCTTCTTTTAATCATTTAATCACTGTAATCTCTTGACATTTCCCATTTCTTTGTATTGCAGCTGAGGCCAAAGAAGAAGATCAAGTAGAGTGTTGATTCTGAAGGGATGCTACATGTTTTGTTGTGTTGCTGGATAATTTACTTAAATGATGTAGCATCAAAGAGTCGGCTATTAATAGAACGTTTAGAATTTGACTTTTGTTATGATATTCAAATGTTTTGAGATTTCTGTAGCTCATTACTCTGGTCTTATATGCTTTTGACATTGGTTCATTTTTGAATGTGTTGATGAAACCATCGTTTTCATACCCTGAGCAATATCTTGTGTTAGTATTATGGGCTTACCGCATTATGTTTTATTTTATACATATTCACTCAAGAATTTGTGGGCAAAGAAATCGGCTAGTAAAGATGTGTATATTAGACTTTGGTAGTTCTTGGGAATATGACGATAAAAAAAGTACTTATATATTTTTGGAAAAGATTGGATAAACAAAATTGTTTGGGCCTCTAATAAATTAAGTTGATCAAGAAAAACTTTGTATAATATAGATCGTCATAGGTGGAACTCGAATTAAAGTTTGAGTTTTGTCCTTAGAAATGAGTTTTTCCAACTATCAATGATATCAGAAAGAATTTATTCTTCCAAACATGATTAGAATATGAGATGAGAATGAAAACATAATAAATTTGTTACAACAAAAAGGATGTAAACTTGAAAGATTAATATTTTAATTGAATATAAAATGAAAATAATTAATAGATAGTATGTTGATAAAAATAATGAAACTCTATGCTTGAAAGCATTTCTTGAGTTACTACACTAACACCATCTGGTAACTCTATCTTAATGGGACAATCCACTCTAATAGGTTTTAAACCTAATCTCTCTAAAATCCCATGTGCAATGAATGAATGTGTGACTCCAGACTTAATTAATGCAAAAAGGGGAACTAAATGAAATAACAACTGACCCGTAACTGCGGATGGGCTAGCTTCAGCTTCACTCTGGGTTATTGTGAACACTCGAGCATTGGTACCTCTAGGTGTCTGTGCTGCGGGTGTATGAGGGGCTTTACAATCTTTCATCATATATCCTGGTTGCTGGCACCTATATCATACATTTCGGCCCAAATCTCTAAGACACTCCCCATAATGATTTCTTCCACACTTCTGGCACTGGGATCAATTGGCTCATATTTACATTAAAGAGATAAGGAGATTGCATGGAGTACCCAAGACAATAGTATCAGATAGATATTCTAGATTTGTCCCAGCTTTTTGGAGTAGTTTACAGAGGAACTTGGGTGCCAGATTGGCTTTTAGTACCATCTACCATCCTTAAACAGATGGTCAGACAGAGAGAATGAATCAAATACTTGAGGATATGTTGAAGACTTGTTGCATGGATTACAGAATGTATGTAAAGTTGCTTAGGATTGAAAATCTACTCAAAAATACCCAAAATCTATGAATTTCTTTTGAAAAATAAGTGAAGAAATTGAGAGGATTTGGAGGAGAAGTGGCATGAAAATGGGTTGAAGAGTGACTAGGGTTTCATTCTTCAATCCTTGATATAACATAAAATTATATATAGTTTCCCATTGCCCTTACACTTTCTTTAAAATTTCATCTATATCTCTTAGTCAATTACCATAATGCCATCATTTTTATTGCATTCTCCATCAAATTCTCTCTCTTTTCACTCCCCACTTTTTCAACTAATTTTGAGTGAAAAAACCATTTTACCTTTAATGCAAATTTAAGGCATTTTCTTCACATTTTCTTAAAATAACTTTAGCAAAAATCAACCAAAGGTATAAGAGCATAAATTAAATTACGTACCTCCATGTGGACGTTTTCAGCCAGTCGTGCGCTATTACAATGACTTCTAGCCACCCTTCGGCGGTGGTGGCCAGCTGCCGGCATTTAATGGGTGGGTGGGGGTGTTTTTGTTAATTTTTAATATTTTATTGGAAGGGTGTTTAGTAAATTAACAAATATAGGAGGGTGTTTTTGTTAATTTTCAAATCTTATCTTGTAATAACCACTCAAGTCAACTTTTTCAAAAATTATACCCAAAATAATAAAACAAACACATTCGAACAGTTTCAATCTTTTAAACCCTGTTAACCCGAAATTTGTTATAAAACCAAACCAAACCGCATGGGTCGGTTTGGTTCAATTCGGGTATTGGGGTTTTGCGTATATGCATACCCCTCATATAACCTATTACTAAATTCATCTTTATTCTATTTTTTAAAAAAAAAAAAAAATCTATTTAAACCCTATTTAATATCAAAAGTAGTCCTACTTAATTAGGTTTAATTGAGTTTTTATTTTATTTTATTTTATTTGCACCCCTTTCACTAATTTTAAATTTAATTAGGTTTTTTGTTTATACTATTTTTTCCCAATTTCAAAATTGAAACATATTTTTTCTTCTTTAGATTCAGATTCATCCCGTGGTTCATATTTTATGTGATTACTTTATTTATAGATAATCAAATACAAATATACTTGAAATTAAAAAAAAATGTTTGAATGGTTTAACAAAGTTAGAGTTAGAGTTTATGTAGATATAAAGGTTAAAATTTTTTTTAAAAAAAAAAAATAGAGTATGAATGTATTTAGAAATTATTATTATTAATTTTAATTATGGTTAAAGAAAATATTAAAAAGTGGGGATAATAATCAGTTTCATGGGCTAAAAATCACTTGCCCATGTTTATGGCCAGCCACACCAACCACATGGCCAATTGCCATTAAACTTATAATTCGGTCCAAGGGAAAAAAGAAAATGAATTGTTCAAAACTCTAAGCAGGCAGGGAAGTGATTTTTACCTTTTTAGCACTCATTATTTTTGTCTTTAGCTTCTATCTTCAAGTTTAACTGTTTAAGTGGGGATATAACCATAATTAAAAAAAAAACTATACTTCAAAGCTTTATGTTTGTAGTTATAAAAATTAAAGTAAATTCAAATTAATCAAGTAAAATATGAGATAAAACAAAACACCCAATATCAAAAATTCCTATTGATGAAATTTCGTATTTTATTGTTAATTCTAAAGTAAAAGTATGGAAGATGAAAAATTAATTGTTTTATCACAATTATACCCTTTCTTAAAATTGAAGAAAAATGACTTCCGCGGGGCTAATCCATATGAATAGAGTAGGAAGTGAAATCCTCTCTTGCATTTAATTCGGACTTAGAGGGTTAATAACCTTAACAGAAGACATACAATCATATAATGAAGTTTAAAGTTGAGAACAAAGCTTAGTTTATGTACTGTTTTTTCAAGATGTGTATATTAGACTTTGGTAGTTCTTGGGAATATGACGATAAAAAATGTACTTCATATATTTTTTGGAATAAGATTGGATAAACAAAATTGTTTGGGCCTCTAATAAATTAAGTTGATCAAAGAAAAACTTTGTATAATATAGATCGTCATAGGTGGAACTCGAATTTAAAGTTTGAGATTTTGTCCTTAGAAATGAGTTTTTCCAACTATCAATGATATCAAGAAAGAATTTTAATTCTTCCAAACATGATTATGAATATGAAGATGAGAATGAAAACATAATAAATTTGTTACAACAAAAAGGATGTAAACTTGAAAGATTAATTATTTTTAATTGAATATAAAATGAAAATAATTAAATAGATAGTATGTTGATAAAAATAAATGAAACCTATATGCTTTTGTAATTCCGTAACCAATCAGGGACTGTAAATAACCTTGTAACCAAACAAACCCTCTACAAACCCTAATCCCCACTCCTAACCTTCATATATAAACAGACTCATAACCAAAACCCTCAAACCGGTCTTTAGACTTTGAGAGCTAGAACAGAGAACGAAAATGCAAATCTTCGTGAAAACCCTAACGGGGAAGACCATAACCCTCGAGGTCGAATCAAGCGACACCATCGACAATGTCAAGGCTAAGATTCAAGACAAGGAAGGTACGTGTTTGAAAATCAAACGATGAATTTTCTATTTGTACTTGATTATGAATCGAGATCTGAAGGCTGTGAGTTTTTGTTGTAATTTCTTTCTTCAGGTATTCCTCCTGACCAGCAAAGACTGATTTTCGCCGGGAAGCAACTCGAGGATGGCCGTACTCTTGCCGATTACAATATCCAGAAGGGTTAGTCTTTTGTTTTTGAGGGAATTTTTTGGCTTTACTTGTATATTTGACTCTTAATTAGTGCAGATGATATTCAAGTAAAATGAGTATTAATTTATTTTTAATATTGGGAAATGATTATTAATTTGCTTCACTTTTCATTCTTTTTTTATTGAAGTTAAATAATCAATTAAGATTGTTTTGGTATGTTTGGATCTATAAGTTTTAATAAGATAATTGATGCTTAATTAATTAATGTGAATATTCATCTAAAATGGATGCTTAATAGGTTAGGTAGTTGTATAGAGTATTGGGAAGTTGTTTTTAGTTTGTTTTACTTTTAATGCCTAGTTTTAAGTGAAGCAAAAAACTAGATTATGAAACTTCAGTAACCATTGTAAATATGAAAATTGCTTTTGAGCTTGCTTGTTGTTTTACGTATGTTATGTAGGGGATTTTGTTAGAGTAGGTTGGTTTTCAGTATTTTGCTTTTAACCCTTTTGTTTGCAGCTAGTTAACTCACATAAATATTGATTTCGGTTGTTTCAGAATCAACTCTGCATCTGGTTCTGAGGCTTCGTGGTGGTATCATTGAGCCTTCTTTGATGGCTTTGGCTAGGAAGTACAACCAGGACAAGATGATCTGCCGAAAGTGAGTCTTGAGTGTTGTTATTTTCGTGATTAAAGATGAGTGATTGAATTTATTTATATTGTATTATGGTTTCATGTTACATGGTAATTATTTACAAATGTTAAATAATTCCTATCTGTTTTTCTTCTTCAAATACCTTGGTTGTCCTCTGATTTGTTTAAGGTAACAATCTATTTTTTATGTGTCTGGAATTATGCATACAATTTGTTTATTGTGGAGTTATCTTTTTATTGTAAAATTGTGGTTAATTACGTTTGACTTCTTGGAGCTAAGAGCTAGTGTTTGTGGTAGCCCAGCCTGTTACTGGATGGCAAGCCCTTTAATCATTGGGGTTAGCTATACCTAGGGGTCTTGTGTTTGAGTCGTGTGAGAGACAATTACTGGGTTTATTTGATTAGGGTTGCATATGGCTTTCTTCTTATTACTTGTTCTGTTGTAGAATACTCTCCTGCATTAATCTTATAACAGATAAGCAAACTTGCAATGTCTTTGGGCCAAGTTGTTGCAATATGAATCATTTTACCCTTTGTGGAAGAATTTTATTTCAGCTTTCACTTAATTGTGTCCAATTTTGGTGGAGATGTTGATTAATCCTCCCAAGGAAATTCTGTGATAATTTTTATAATCATGTAGATAACTATATTTTAAGTTGTTACCACATGGTTCCCTGGATGTTTGGGAGTTCTTTGTTGCTCTGTTTTGTTCCTGTTTTTCTTACATAACATTTATAAATGAATAATCCTCATTACTGTTTTTCTGTTAATTTGCAAATATTTGATATCTGATACTTAAAAGTTCTTGATGATTTATATTTGTAACAGATGTTATGCACGTCTGCACCCTCGCGCTGTGAACTGCAGGAAAAAGAAGTGTGGGCACAGCAACCAGGTAAATCTTACTTAAAAGTATTAGACCTTTTATATTGGACAGCTTTAAGCTCTGGTGGTGTCTCGACGGTTGATTTTTTCTTCTTTTAATCATTTAATCACTGTAATCTCTTGACATTTCCTATTTCTTTGTATTGCAGCTGAGGCCAAAGAAGAAGATCAAGTAGAGTGTTGATTCTGAAGGGATGCCACATGTTTTGTTGTGTTGCTGGATAATTTACTTAAATGATGTAGCATCAAAGAGTCGGCTACTAATGGAACGTTTAGAATTTGACTTTTGTTATGATATTCAAATGTTTTGAGATTTCTGTAGCTCATTACTCAGGTCTTATATGCTTTTGACATTGGTTCATTTTTGAATGTGTTGATGAAACCATCGTTTTCATACCCTGAGCAATATCTTGTGTTAGTATTATGGGCTTACCGCATTATGTTTTATTTTATACATATTCACTCAAGAATTTGTGGGCAAAGAAATCGGCTAGTTTCATTGCTTAAATCTGGCACAGTTGTGAGAAGACTGGTGTTTTAGGGATCTATCTTCCATGAAACCTTTTTTTTTTTAAGTTTTCTAAGCCCCACGTCTGCTTGTCACTTTATTGACATGTTTGATTTATCCTCGAGGTAGTAACTATGTTTATAAGTAACTTGGAACAATATTTGTGAAACGACTGAGTTAAACACTCACATGAAACTACAAATTCTAATGAAACGGCTGTCTTCATCACTGTTTTAAAGCCCGGCCTGATTGGTTTAGTCGGGATTTTGGAGCTTCATTGGGTCGGGTTAACATTTTCTCTACTCACCCAAAAATCAAAATCCTAGAATTTGGCACGACGGTTAACGAATAATTAAAGGTTAGGATGTTGGGGCTTTTTAAGATAAAATGTGGTGAGTGCGATGGTAGCGATGAAGTTGATTTTCGGTGAATGAATCGATTGAAAATCTAAAAAAACTAGTTACGGCAACAGTAAGCTTTTGTCAGTGATTGGTGAGGCTAACAAGGGTGGGGTGAGGTGGGTTTTGGTTGGGAGAAAGAGGAGAATATTTTTGGGGTGATGGGGAAGGTTCAAGGTTGTCAACGTCAGTGAGATCTGGCCTAGAATGTTGATGTCAACGTCAGTGAGATATGATAGAAATTGAACTGATTTCAACTAGATCTTGAGTAGAGTTTCTAGGGAATGGGCTTAAGGGACGATTAGGATTACATTTGGGGTGTCGTTGCGGCCAATTGGTGGGCGACCGATTTGTATTTGAGGTGTGTTTGCTAAATTTTAAATTTATAGGGACTGAACGAATTTTTAGAGATGTATTTGTTGAATTTTAAAAGTTTTATCACCCGGTTTGATTGTCTAGTCAAACCGGTCAACGCAAGACCCGACAACTTTGTCGAGTTTTACCCATGTTTGGTTGTTAAAACATTGGTCTTCATGCATCAGAAGAGAAATTTGCAACTTCTTTTCATAGTAAAAACTCATCCAGCAGGCATGGTAGCCTAGCTACTAGTATGCAAGTCATCATTCAATAAACATCCAGGTGAAAAAATTAAATAAAAACAAAGTGATTTACTTTTTGAAAAAAAAGCTTTAATAGGAAAATACTTATATTTTTTAAAATAATTTTAATTATTAATGGGGTTTACAAATAAGTTTGGTGGGCTTAAATAATAACTCCTTTCATTCTCTCATAATTTTCTGCATTTGTAAGCAGAATCATATAAACCTAGAAAATAAAACCCTTGTAATGATTGATTTAAAGCCTTTACATAGACCATGGTCTATTTTATCTTCCGACTCCAACATGGATCTCCTCAGCTGTTGCTTTTCTCCAGAATTTATCTGTACACAAATCAAAGTGATTTGGAATATCTTCACATTATGTTATGGCTGTTCTAGAAAAGCAATGTGAGGAAATAAGAGTCACCTTGTCTGGAATATGTTTTGAATCATTTTCCTGGGAGACTCACTTGCGGCCTTTTCTAACTGAAGCACTTCATCCGAGTTGAGGTGCCAGCCGAGAGCTCCCAAATTTTCTTCCACCTGTTTAACTGTCTTAACTCCAGGTATCGGAATGGTACCCTTACAGATGCACCAGTTTAATGCCACCTGATAACAAAATGAGTAACATCAGGCATGCAAAACAGGAAAAAAGAGAACTTATGGTTGAGAAACATGAGCATTACAAGTTGGGTGCCTCACTGACGATAATGAAGTTTGTTATGAAAGCAATGTCCTTAGTTAAAGTTTGCTTTTTAGAACCATTCTTAAGGTCAAACTTTGTTCTAAAATTGAGTTTTACAATGCCAATATAAATGCCATGAACAACAGCGGATGAGATCTATGGCAATACTGTAAGAGATGGAATGAGCCAATAGTGAAGTGTTATCAATTAAAAATAATTGGCAGCATGGAGAAAATGGCTGTACAACTAGAGATGGAATGCAACGACGGGATACCACAAATTGGAATTGATAGCTTTTTTGAAATGAAAATAGTTTCCATCATATATAGCAGCCATAAAACCCAGTGTAAAAGCCAATAACAACTGTCATAAAATTGAATGAAATCAAGAATACTGGTATACGATTTAATTTTTATTTAGTTATTGCGTATGCTGATATCTAATTGAAAAAAAAGGGTTTAACAAGCATAAAAGTGAAGCAATCAATAAAACAAAGTTCAAAAACAAATACCTGTGGTATGGTTTTGTGCCGTCTTTCTGCAATTTCTCTTAGAGAGCTCAATAAAGGCTCCAATCCGGGAACGATTTGTCTGAATAGCAGGGCCCTGATAGCAAGCAATATATCCTCTCATGACACAACCACAAGCAACTTAAACCAAAAAAAAAAGAAAGACAAAAATCTGTCAGCCATTCTACCACTTGTTAAATGTTATAGCCAATAGAAGCAATATACCGAGGTCCACTTGGAAGTCTAGAAGCTGTATATTTCCCAGTAAGCATTCCAAGTCCTAGAGGACTATAAGAAATCAAGCGGATGCCGAGAGAGTTGCATATATTTTTTATCTCCAGCTGATCGTCTCCCACACTTAGCAATGAAAATTGCACCTGAAATTAGGTTCTCCTTAGATGTAAGATATACTTTTACAATTAACCACTAAAAAGAAAAATGTTGCTAATAACAAGCAATGTAGATACAGCATTACAACCATAAATAGTATGGTAATTTAGAGCCTTTGTTTTCATATCATATTTGAGACACAAGAGACAGTAAGATATTATAATTCAATCGGACTGTAGTAACTAGCCATATTCAGTAAACTTAGTGCTACCATTTATGCAGAGTCTAGCAAAATAACATTCTGTTTTGTGTATGGGTCCTAAAAGAAGTCAAGCCAACATGTCCAGTGAAAGTCACGCCATCCTAATCTTGATGACATTGCATAAACTTATTACCTGAGCTGAGCAGAGAGGAACTCCTCGGGCTTTGAGGTAATCGTGTATCTTCACAAGCTGTCTTGGTCCATAATTGCTCACCCCAACTGCTTTAACTAAACCCTACACATGACCATTTGCTTGAGTTTAACAAATTAAATTATAATTCTGCAACATTATTTAATAGGGCATTAGGGATAGCTTAAAAATTCAGATGCTTCCTAAACAAAGGAAAACGAAACAAACTTTTTTGGGTATTTAAACAAATTTATTTCAACCTACTATATGAGGAATATTCATAACCAATGGTAATTGATAGAAATCATCTGTTAAATGATGAGCATTTAAACATAAAGAACGGTAACCTTCTCGTACATTGCCACCAAACCATCCCAAAGAGCTAACTCTTGTGCTGGTGCATAATTCGCAGTAGACCAGTGTAACTGCCCTATCCCAATTTGTTCAATTTGCAGCCGATCACGGGAAGCCCTAGAAAACCAATCTTCATCAAATTCTACAATCAATGAAATGGCCAAGGCTAGTGAATACCGTCTTTGGTTATATTTTCTTTTTTTGCAGAGGTGGAACAATTATTTCATAAATTAAAAGTCAAAAGAGAATGAACCACACACTATTTAAGCATCAAAACATCAAATTGAGCAAAACATACCTGCAAGCTTTAACAAACTGCCCTGGTGTCAGACGCCAAGGATATGCAGCAAACTTAGTAGCAATCACAATGTCATCTTGTATCCGCTTTTGCCCTGAGAATACAATCATATGTAAGCTTGATGACCAAAAACACCTATTACATACAACAATAATATTATATTGTTAAATAAGCAGAAATTTGCTTATCATTGCCAATCAGTCGTTTATTCAGGAGATCAAATGAATGTTAGATTATTCTCAGTTATCTTCATAGCTTCACAGACAGAATTCAACCAGAGTGACTCATAAAAGTAGTGTGAAAATCTTTCTCACTTGACAAGTTGCTATTAATCATTTCACTTGAGGATCATTTCACATGGGTAAATAATAACTATTTTAACATCTTGTTAAAATCAAACAATTTGGCATAGAATCAAGCATACTTATCTGGTTCAGCAAGTTGCATCTCCGTATTAAATGATCATAACTTCATTCGAAGGTTAAACGACCGGATAAGATTGACCTGATACAAAAGCTTAAGCAACAGGTGGAAACTGAATTTTTTTTCCCATCTTGGTTCTAATAAGGCCGTAGAACATTAAATTACTTCAACATTGAGCAATAAGGAATTAATTCAACCAAATTAAATCAACTATACCACTTGCCAATTACATTTCAATTACTAACTATTCATAAGATAATTCAAAGTTTAGATATGTACAATTTGTCAAATGGCTAAGAGCAGAAAGAACAACAAAATTAATAGAGATGGATCTTTTAACTTAAATTGGAACATAAATTTATGGCTAGCTAACGGATATGAGATGAAAGTTGGAGGAGGTCATTTTCATTGCCTTCTCATTAACCCTTAAACCATTGGATTGTAACAGATCAACCACTGAAAATTTGCGTCAATAGTTTAAGTGAAAAATCTCATCCCAAAATAATATAGTATCTGCCTAATTTGGATAAAAATATTTTTTAACGGTCAGCGATGTGCAAAAAAGCCTATACTTGAGTTCACATTAGCACATAGTTTTAAAATTGCAGCTTTAGTCTAGTGTACATTTTTACAAAAATAACAAATAAATGAAACAAACACCAACCCTGAATATCGGTGATGAATTTGCCAAGAAGTTTTTCGCTTTTTCCATTTAGCCTGCCAGTCCCATAAGAATCAGCAGTATCAAAGAGATTGATACCATTCTCAACAGCTAAGTTAAAGGTTTGTTGAAGCTGAGCGTCCATGGACTCTTCATACCCCCAAAGAAACTGGTTGCCCCATGCCCACGTCCCAAACCCCATTGGAGACACAGTCATTGGTCCCATCTTCACCTGCCCATCACACCAAATTATACTCTTTAACATGCCTTGTGCTTGTTTCAGAGAGAGAGAAAGAAAGAAAAGAAAAGAAAGAACCTTTTGCCATGGCCAAAACAGAGGAAGTTTGGGAGGCTTGAAGGGTGTGGAGGAAGAAGATGAATTGATAGTAAAGTTGAGAGTTGGAGTTGAGGTAGTGAAAGAGAAACCCATTTTACTCTTCAACTATTTTCTCATTCACAAAACATTAGTCTAGTCTTGGTTTCATTTTCTTACTGGTTTTGTGGTGAGAATTCATTCTCACCCGTTTTCAATCGTTAATGGATAAATAATTAATGAAGTCTGGAAATTATCGTATTATATTAACTTAAATTAAGATATAAATTCTTAATTATTATTTATTACCATACAATATATTAAGGGCGAAATTTGAAATCTTTAAAAATAACCCTTTTATCTTTTTACCTCCCGAAATAGTGCCCCCTTGAAAGAAATTCGTTTAATTACTATTTTTTGTATTTCACTTTTTATAAAATGCTATATATTTTTTTTTCACTTTATTTAAAAAAATCATAATTCGAATAAATGTCTTTACTTTACTTAGAATTAATAATTGACATCTCAAGAGTTACTAAAACAAAATTAAAAAATCTCTGTTTTTGAATATTATATTTTTATAATATAAATACATAAATAATTATCATCTATGTAACATTATTTAAATATTAAAATTCTTGTGGTGCTCTCTTTCTCTTTCAGTTAGTTACTATATATATATATACTTGATGTTTAAAGTTACAGCTTTTAGATTTTAAATTATGAAAATTTGTGTTGCTTTTGCTATTAATCAACATACTTAATACCGTGGTTGATAATTTATAAAAACTGAATAGATTAAATTAGACATAAACTAACAATATCCATATATATGAAGATGATATTAAAAGTGAATAACAGTGTTATTAGTTTTCTATAATAAAAAAATTCTGCCCAAGTTTTTTTTTTAATAAAAATATTGCATACTTGTAGTTATAAGCATGAAATAGATTTTTAAATTAATTTATTTTGAAAATCCATTTTATGTTATTAAAACTGAGTAATAGTGTTATTATTTTTCTATAATATAATAATAAAATTCTGTACTTAAATGTGATATTGGCCAAGGTTTTTTTTTTTATAAAACCATATTTGTAAATTGTAATTGTAAGAAATAAGAATGAAACAGTTTAAAATTATTTTAGTGTAGTCTGAAAGAAAGATATTTTAATGAATAAATAAAATTATGACAGCTGTGGGATTTGAACCCACGCCCTTTCGGACCAGAGCCTAAATCTGGCGCCTTAGACCACTCGGCCAAACTGTCTTTAGAGTTTTGTAAACTCCAAAATATATTATTAATATTTAATAGAACAAAATTGGCTCTCTTCCCATCCCCTCGAGAGTGAAATTCCCTACCGCTTTCCTAGAGAACTTATAAGCCTAGTTAGTAAATACGGGTACGGCAAAAAAATGGTACGGAAATTTTACGGGTATAATACGGCAAACAGTAAAAAATACGTTTATAAAAATTCGGTCATAAAATTCGGATACGGAAAAAATACGATACGGGTATATACGGGTTTAATACGGTATATTATCAATAATACATTTTGAAAAATACGGTAATATTAATCCTAGTTTTGATATTTTTATGGACTAATTATTAATGTATCTCAGCATTGACTTAAATTAAATCTTTTGCTTTTGCTTTTGCCTATGGTAACGTTAATTTTTTCTTTGCCTTAACAAATTCCCAGGCCCATGTCTTGTTCTATCCCACCCCATGTCTTGTTCTATCCCACCAATAGAAAATATATATACATTTTTTTGTTTTGTTTATGCAATAGAATTATAAAACGCAATCTACAGTTACAGTGTTGAGTGTTGAAATCCACCACAAACACAAATTAAACACCCGTGACCCATCTTGAAAACCCCCCTCTCTCTCTCTTCTTCAATCAAATCATCTCTCAGTGTCTCACGGTCTCACCCACAAAGCCAACTGCTTCTTCCAGAGTTCCAACAATGGCATCTGCTTTACAGGTTATTTTTTCTGCCAATACTTTCCTTTCTTTAAACTTATTCTTCTCCCCCAAACAAAAACACAAACCCGTTAAAACCCTCAACCAGTTCGCCTTCCACAAATTTATTCTTCTCCCCCAAACACAAACACAAACCCGTTAAAATCTCAACCAGTTCGCCGTCCGAGCTGAGGAAGGAGAAGTATTGGCAGAAAAGCTGAAAACGTCGAAGATCTGAGGAAAAAAAGCTGAAAATGTCATCCATCGCAGAACTGAGGAAGGAGAAGAACTGAAGAAGAGAAGAGATACCGTGTAATTTTGAATTAAACCCCCTAAAACGACGTCGTTTTGGGGTGAGCAATAGGTCTTTTTTTTTTTTTTTTTGCAATAATACGCGAATAATTCACGAATTATACGCGTATAATTCGCGAATTATACGGGTATTCATATTATACGCGTATAATTCGGCAATTTTTATAACATACGTTAAAACGCGTTTTATACGCGAATTATACGGCTGAGCGTATAATTCGCGTATAAAACGCGTATTTACTAACTAGGCTTATAAGTCACCTGACAACCCAAATAGCGTCAATACGACATTCGTCTAAATCAACAAAAGTCAACATAACGAGGGTGTTTATTAGGGATGTGCAAAAAAAACTGGTCGGAGTCGAAATCGATGGATACCCGGGTTCCCGCCATTAGCAGAGATTAAACCTTAACAAAAAATAATATAAGAAAATAATGGTCATGTTTGGTTCATTATTCCTGTCCATATTCCCAACCCTATTCTCCAAATAATTTTTGGCACATTATTCTAGAAATATTACTCAATTTTTTTTAATTACTTTTAGACCCTATAAGGTTATTAATTTCATTAAATACCTCCTAAAAAAAAAGTTTTCTGGCAACCACCATCGGTGGTAGCCGGAATCTTCCACAACGGTGAATTACCGACCGGAGATAGTTGGTAATTCACCGATCTGGCCGAAAGTGACGGCCAAAGAAACGGTCGTCGTTGAGGGTCAACGATGGCTATATCTTTGGCCATCGCTGACGATCAAAGATGGCCATCGTTTTGGCCTTTTCCGGCCGTTGACTGCCATAGCAGGCCGTAGATTTGGCCGAAAAAGGCCATAATGATGCGTTACGACATAGATCTGACCGGTTTGTGTCGTAACGCGATTTTTCAGCCAGATTTCGACGGTGGTGGCGGGAATCTGGCATTGCAGATGATAGGGGTATTTTTGTCATTTTATATGTTGGGGTGTTTAATTAAATTAGTAAACCTATGGGCTTTTTTATAAATTTTTAAATTTTATCTCGTAATACTCCCCTATTTAACTATCCAATATTATTCCCAAAATTCTATTCAAAATAATGAACCAAACGTACCCAATATCTAAGTTTAAAGACATTTGCCAACTTCCCCATCATTTAGCGGAGATTAAACTCCTAAATGCATAGAAGAGAAACTTGGCTTGGGCTTTAAGGATAAATCCATTCCCAATTTTCTAGAACAAAATTACAGTTGTCAATTTGATATAGTTTAGGGACAATGAAAGAGATTGCATAAACCCTAAGGGGTTGGTCTGATAGTAAAAAATGTTTGCTTATTTCATTATTTTTTTTGGTTCGAACCACCTTGAGGCTACTTATCCCATTTGTGGCTTACCTTGAAGCATTGAGTTTGTAGGGTATTCAATGGACTTTGAGTCTCAGGGATTAGTTGAGGTCAGCTTGCAGCCCTGGCACCTAAATCTTCTCAAAAAAAAAAAAAAAAAAAAAAAATATTAGACTTGTAGGGTGTTCAATAGGTCTCGGGTTCTGAAAATTAGTTGAGGTCAGTTTGCACCTCGGTCATTAAAAAAAAAAAATAAAAAAATAAATAAATGATAGATACATAGTTATTATTTATGAAATAATTTAAAGTACCAGTTGGAATTATTATTTATTATAATTTTAACATGTGTCGTTGACTCGAGAGTTGTGAGTTACTTAAATAGTATTTTCTTATTCAAATGTTATTCTTCATCCATGCTTATTCAAGTGTTTACTTTTTTTTTTTTTCTCCTAATTGATCTCTTGAAGCAAATAAAGTGGGATGACTGATTCATTATCAAAGCTTAGTCTTTAATTATTTTAATTTTTGGGTTTTTCATAAAAAATAACAGGGGCATAACTACACAGCAAAATTAATTTGTTTATAAATTTATTGTTTCTAGCTAATAATTATCACATTACTAAAAATTATTGAATTTTAGATACTTTAAAAATGTTATATTTACATGTTTTTGTGAAAAACTAACATGTAAATTAGAATCACCTTCTAGATTTATACATAAATGTACAAGAAAACTTAGGTAAAGCTAACACCATTTTGTCGTATATAAAAAAAAAATTGTACAAATAAGGAAGTAAACAAGTTAGCTATGAGTCAAATTTTATTACCTTATATTAGTTCAATTATCATTACTAGGGATGGACAAGGGCCAGGCGAGGCCGAGGACCCCTGTCTCTAGCCTCGACCTAAAAGCCCAAGGGTATCATATATATTATAATAAATTATAAATAAATAGCTACCATAATATATTATAATAAATTCTAAATAAATAGTTTCCATTATATAACAAGGGCAATTAGGTAATGGAATTGAAATAATGCTTCAACAAGGAACCAAGAAAAATTTATAATGATTTATTAATTTATTATAATCAATCAAAATATCAAATGATACATTATACATGTATAACATACATATTATGTATTAACATATGATTATAGATAATAACATATTATGTATAATGTATAACATATATATATGTTATATACATTATACATATATAACATATATATTATGTATATCAAATGATACATTATACATATATACAATATTTATTATATATATCAAATGATACATTATACATATATAACATATTTATTATGTATTACAAATATTTATAATGATTTATTATATTTAATCTAGTTTTATTTATTACTCATTTGTATATGATTTCATATATACTCACACAATTATAATTTGTTATTCTATAAAACTAGATCAATTCAGTTCTTGGCCCGTCCCTGAATTCAGGGACCTATCTTCGGCTTGGGCCCTGTCCAAACCCCGAATACCCCGGGGAAACTCCTCCCCGTTCGGGGCAGGTATTATGCCCATCCCTAATCATGACGACTAATTGTTTTTTTTTTAATTAAAAAAGACTTCAGA